TTCTCATGTCACTGTTTTTAAAGTCATGTTCAGGGTTCTGATTCTTATGATTATCAACTCTTATTTGGAATATTTGGACAAACCTACACGCAACAATTTAACTCTAGATTTCCATGTTCTTGGATTAATATTTGACTTTTTCTCCAGATATTTCAGCCCGTCGTCGCCATATTTTAGTAAATATATAAAGTTTAGTTTCTATTGTGAGATATTTAACCGTCCTCGGACGTTTATATTTTATTTCCTGTGTATGATCTGCACCTGTTCTGCTGATCTTTTGATTCTGCATTTATTTGACTACATTTTGTCTATTATACGTGTATCTGTTTAACTCTCATGGAAACATTTTTACTTTATCTTTTGATTATTTGTAATTTAAACTTGTTTCCATTCAGAGGAGCAGGATTTTTGGTTCCACGTTAAAAATAGCGATTTAGTGTTGACCTTTGACCCACACACACCTGGGGGCGCTGTGGACTCTCCGTACCCCTTCATGTCCAGAGCCAACACCCTGAACCCTGCTGCTGCCACGGCCGGGATCTACCAGAGAGAGGAGAGGATGTTCAGGCACACGAGTGTTTGCTTTTAGTTTCAATATATAAACGTGTACAACATCCAAACTTTCAGGTGAAATCCAGTCTGAACACGTTACCTGGTACCTCCAGGAGTACCAGCTCTCAGGGAAGCCGTGACACAGCAGAACTGGTGGACCTGAGCCCATTTCAACATAATGAGTCCTCACACCAGGCTGACGCACACACAGAGGAATTATCATTAATGTCACGAGAAAGCAACGTTTCAGCTGCGTCTGACTTCCATCATTTCCTAAACAGACAGCAGGGGAGAATTCTGTGTTGACCCCGATCCAGATCTTTACCCCGATGGTGACGTAACCATGAGACACTTCATCTGGGCTGCAGGAGGGCGGAGGACTCTCTGCTCCAGCAGCCTGAAACACATGGAAGTGTGGATGTTAGCGTGCTGATGTTAGCGCAGCAGCTGTCTGAGGTCAAACTGACTGATTCAGGCAGCAACATGACCTTTCCTCTGGCACCAGCTGCTGCTCCTGCATCACCCGCCGGTTCCAGCTTCTATGCACTAAAGCCTCATTTCTCTTTTCTTTACCTTAAAGACGCAAATTCTGTCATGATGGGGGGCAGCGGTTCCCGAGAAACGTGGAGTAGAACAACAGCTAAATGAATGAATGTGGGAAAGCTGTGATGCTGCGAGGCTGTCAAGATTCAGGTTAGCAAAATGAAATGCAAACAACAAGATGGAGAAGTTACAGAGTGAAAAAGCTCCTAGATCACCTTTTCTTTAGCTTTTTGTTTCTCTGACAGTATAAGATCAAATAGTTCCGGGTCACACCTGAACTCCAGTGAAGTCGGCCAGTTTGTCCAGAGCGTCGGCCAGATTTTCCACCAAGACGGCCTTCATCCCCGCTCCCTCTGCTGCCTTCACACCTTCCTCATCTGCGTCCAACCACAGAGCCTGAAATCAGACCGACAGGCTGAGCGCGCTGTCCCGGACCAGGATTTACACTCGTGTGTGTGTGTGGGCGTGTCCTCGACCTGCTGCGATGTCACTCCCAGGTGCCGCAGAGCAGAGCTGAACGCGGAGGACTCGGGGACCCTGTGACCCGAGCGGCAGGACTGGAGGACCTGGTCAAAATGGCCGCCCAGCAGAGACAGAAGGCGGGCTGGACCGTCTCCAGCCGCGCTGTCATCTAGCCAGTGATTGGCCAGCACGGCCGTCAGTAACCCTGATGGGATGGAGGCGTAGAATCAGCCTTTGGTGATGTCATCGGGCGCCACAGCTGTGTGTGTTTCCCGTGCAGATGTGTTGATGCATAGTTACCACGGTGACGCAGACCGGCGGCTGCCTTCAGCACGGCTGGTTGGACGTCCATCATCGCCTCCCTGAGCTCCTCCAGCAGGCCTCTGACTGACCAATCGGACGGCAGAGTCACACCCCTGACCTGGGCCTCCTTCACACACTCCGCCTCAAAGGCTGCGATCATCTACACACACACACAGAGGATGGAGGAGGCAGTAAAGGGCCCATCCAAGGACTCTTCTTCACCTCCATGTTCAGTCACCTTCAGTAACAGCGAGGACAGAAGACATCAAATAAATCAAGAGATGATTTTGACCTCACCCACCTGAGACAGGGTCACCTCACCTCTCTCCGCCCGGCTCATGGCGCTGTCCCTTCGGGACGCCACGGCGGACAGAAAACCACTGAGAACCACAGAGAGACAAACAAGATGAAAGACGTGAAAAGAAGCGAGTCCACGTGAATGAGTCAGTAACATTAACACGAGTCTGTCTGGTGGCTTTAAAGGAGGTTAAACATGTGACAGATGCCACAGATCAGAGTTCGAGTGCTGTTTGTGTGGAGTAATGAAACCACAGGAGACTCAGCTCACACACACTGTGTCTTCACCAGCGCTGCACACTTATAATCTGCATCTAGTTCAGTCTGCAAATATAGTGAAGGCTGAGCCTGCACCTGATTGGGTGGCACAGTGATACAGTATATGGCCAAAAGTAAATGGACAGTGAGTATTTTACTTACTCTCATCTTCATTCGCAGACACTTTTATCTAAAGCAGCTTTCATTTGGGGTTTCAGTGTCTTCCACATGTGGACGTCCGGGTCAATAGTGCTCCTTCAACTCTGTGTCCCTTTCCTGTTTCTACATGGCAGCGCCCCCGTGCACAAAGCAGCTCCAGAAAGAAACTGTTTGCTTGATTAAAGGATAGAACATTAAATTTATGGAGCAGATTAACAATTATTAACAACTTTGCAGCCATCTGTGTAAACCAGATTCTACAGTACTGTTGCAGATGTACATCTCAAATTAAAATGGATGGAAGCTGCCAAAAAGAAATTTACTCCCACATTTTTTATGAGCCATCAGGGGGAAGTTTTACAGCTTTATGAGGACTGAACTGTTAAAATCCAGAAGGAAGCTGGTGACTGTTACTAGTTTGGTAGATGTGAATGGTGCTACATATTTAACCATTTAAGACAGAAGGCAGAGCTTAAAATAAGTGAACTGTGATCCCTGTAACACAAAAACAATGTGACTGATTCATCTTTGGCAGTGACCTATTAATCATGGGGGTTCAGCTGTCCATTTACTTTTGGCCATGTAGAACCTGCTGTCTGATCTTGTTTGCAGTTGCACAATGTGTTACAGAGTAACAGCAGTGTTCTTCTTTTAATAAGACTCATCAAACCTCTGCCACACCGACACACTCCAGGCACATTTCTTTCCTGCTTGGACAGATTATTTAACAGGTTTTAGAGATTTTAACGCAGGATGCACCGCAGTTTCCCTAAAACACCGAGTCATATTGCGTAATTTTTTACAGTGCAGAGATGTTGTCTTACCCAGGCAGGTGATGCAACTCCTCCAACCTGCGGAAAACATCACGAGGGCTGGAAGAGACAGCAACTCCCCAGAAGTTGAACAAGACGGCTTTCCTCTCAGCCATCTCCTCTGAGCCTGAGTGAAAGGAGCTTTAATGTTTCTGTCTCCGTCGTCCAGCAGGAATGTGTTTTCTCTGCTGCTGCTGCAGGAAGGCTCTGCTCACGCAACAGGGGAAACTTTGCCCTTTGCACGGACTAACAGAAGCTCCGCCCACTTATCCTGCAAGTTCAGGCTTGACTGGGAGAAGGGACAAAGTGAAACTTCTCTGTGCCAATATGCAAACATCTTGATGCACATATGGAAACTATTTATAAGGAAATTACATCACCAACATTAATGTAGTTTGCTTGTGTGTTTCAGGCTCAAAGAGGACAAACTCTGGATAATTTAATATTTTGTATTTTATCATGTTTTGTTGAACAGTCTGGACACAAAATCTGATCTTCATGAAAAACAAAATGTCCCCTCAAATGTTTGCCATCTATTGTTGGTACGATTCCTTTGCTCAAAACAACCATTTGAATTATAACTTTTCCCCAACTGTAATACTTTCTTCTGAATGTAAAAATAATTGTTGCCATAGACAAAGACATAGATAGAGGAGCGGTGCTGTTTATTTCCACACTTGAAATTCAGCAAAGATAAAGTGCTTTAGGAGAACTTTTGATTCACTTCTGACTTAAAAGTTGCTCATTGTTTTGCTACAGTCCACAAATGTTGTCTGTGATCAAACAGCCTGACAATCTAGTAAGACACAACAAGATACATGTCAGATCATCTCAGGCCAGAAGAAACGTGACAAACAGCTGACAAAGTTTTTTGTACTTGTCATGTCAAGGATTAAGCATTCCTTACTGCAGAAAATCAGAGGCTTTGTGTAACTTCTGGAAGAAGACAGTTCTCTGATAACATGTTGGCACAATAACATATATTAAAGAACTTGTGGGTAGCGTACGATTTTATAAAGTTTAAATCAATCGCTTTGTAGCATCCAAAGAGTTGTTTCACCGTCAGACACTTTGGTCTGGCCAGGGGCCCCGCTCTGGAACCTGCACTGTGCTGTGATCCCAGGAACAAAACTCTCCTACAGAAAACTCATATCACATTCTAGTTTTCAGCTTTTTAATACATCTGAAAAAGAGACTCACCCGCAGCTGTGGCAACACAACTTGAACAAACCGCACGTGGAACTGCAGCAGGAAACACCCTAATACTAGAAACTGTTTGTTCATCTCAGTTTGTTAACTTTAGTAATGATTATCATTACATTTGCTGATGATTATTCCAGACGGTGGTGCATAGTTGCCTGTCGTAGAACAGCTAAATATATATTATATAACCTATCAATATATTGGGGGGGATGTGTTTCACCTGATATATATTATGATTGTTTCTGATGTTTCTGTGTGTTCAGTTTGTCTAACAGCTTGTTTAGGACTAGATTTGGAGGAGTCGGCCCCAGATCACATATTTGAGGATATTGAAAAGCTAATAGGACAGAAATTACCGACACATTTTTACACACTGCTGACTCAGCTAAACTTCTTCACACCCAAACTTAAATGATTTCTGACTGTTTCTCCACTGTTTTAATTCTGTGTAAAAATCCTCTTTATTAACTAAGAGCACAAACAAAATGTTGGTTGTAAAAAGCACCAAGCTACAGAAAACTCTGCTCATTTCTCTGTGACAAAGCTGTTTTAGTGAGGAAAGCTGAAAGGACAGAGACTGACTGACAAACGCTCTTCTGCTCTGAACATGAACTCTGTACTTTGTGGTGTTTCAGGAGGAAACTGCCTCGGTTCTACTCTCAGATTAGTTTCACATGTTCTCCATCAGCTCTGTATGAAACCCTGGAATGAAGACGAGAAGAAAAGACTTGGTTCATGTTTGTTTATTCATCATGTAAACCTTCAGTTTGTTCACACATCCCATCAGTAAAGTCTGTTAAATGACTCTTGTTCAATGATTTCATGCACAGATTCACTTCATCCACACAATCAGTGTGTTTGAGCAGAATCTCAGCTGTCAAAGAAAAGAATGAGCTCCTTATTGATTCTGATCAGGAGAATTACACTTTAAAATACCTCACAGTCCCTCATTTGTACGTCTCTTCGGACAACAACAACAACATTTGGTCTGCCAAACAAATAAATGTGAATGTAATTCTAGATTTCTTTCCAGAGTGAGAACAAAATCTCTGAGATAAAGGAAGGTCTGCTGCTTTCTCTCTTCAGACCCATGCAGTGGAAGAGAAACAACAACATACAAATACATCAATCCAAATATTCAACAAACATTTAGAGCTCAGACAAGTTTCCATTTTCATGCAGGTAAACAAAAGTCATCCTGAGCAGTGATAGCCTCCATGGCTAAACAGACACAGGAAGGAGCGCCGCCTAAAGAAACTCAAACATTTACAGCAACTAATGAGAAGACCGCCCACAATGTTTGATTGACAGGTCAAGGCCACAACAATCAGCTCTCAGCAACAAACATGAAGACAAAATAAGTTGAAGGATTAAAAGACAGAATTTAACCCACTGTCCCTGAAATGACTTCTGACTATTTGACTTTACAGAACTCAGCAGAGTCTCCAGGAGACCAATAATAAAACCCAAGTCCAGCACAGAGAGGCTGAGTGAATGTGGTCTGGACTCTGTGGAGGAGAGTCATGGTTTCAGAGATGCCGTAGAAGGACAGAATACCTGCACTGTGATCCAGGTACACTCCTAATCTGGAGGACCAAGGACCTGAAACGGGAGTTTGGACTCTGTTGAACCAAAAGTTATAACTTTTATTCTGACAATATAACGCCCAAGATTTATCATTTCGCCCAAATCCATTTTTACACCCTGCTCTGCTGATGTTCTTGTAGGCGACTGCTACATAAACTTCTTCCCCTCTCCACTCCACCTCCCAGTAACAACGTCCAGTCAGACTCTCTCTACTCAGGACCTGCCAGCATTCAGTGAATCTGTCTGGGTGACGAGAATAAGACTGTTCTACTTCCATGAATGTTGCTTTTCTGTTCCCCTCAGATAATAACAGCAGTGTGTTTGCTGTGTTTGGATCCAGAGTGATTTCACGTGAATATTTTAAGAAGTCAGCTCTGGTCTTGGGCTCTGGTTCTGACAGTAAAACATCCACATCAGTCACTGTCTTTAAGATGTTTGTCCATGTCTCTGTCAGAACGTCCTGTAGTTTGTCTCTGACTTCTGACACAGCCGCTGTCACATCCTCAAAGTAGCGCAGAGGACGGATCTTGATGCTGGATGAGTCTGTAGATTCACTGAGTGCTGACACTGAGGGGTAGTTGTGTAGAAACTGGTTGTGATCCTCTGTGTGTGAGAGCTGCTTCAGCTCAGCGTCTTTCCTCTTCAGCTCAGTGATCTCCTGCTCCAGCTTCTCCTGAAGCTCTTTGACTCGACTCACTTCAGTGTCCTGCTGGGATCTGAGCTGCCGCTTCACATCAGACCTTCTTTTCTCCATCAGACGGATCAGCTCGGTGAAGATCTTCTCACTGTCCTCCACTGCTTTATCAGCAGAGCCATTGATAGCCTCCACCTCCTGCTGAAGCACCTTCACATCTTTCTGTCTGTCCTGGATTCTCTGCTGGATGTTTTGTCGACTCACCTCGAGCTCTCTCTGCCTCTCGGTCCTTTCTGCTGCAGCTGAGACTGTGTCGTGGCCTTTATGTTCATCCACAGAGCAGAGATAACAGATACTCTGCTGATCAGTACGGCAGAACATCTTCATCACCTCATCGTGACGAGAGCAGATGTTCTCCTGGAGCTTCTTGGAGGGCTCCACCAGCTTGTGTTTCTTTAACGGAGCCACATCATAATGAGGCTGCAGGTGTTTCTCACAGTAAGAGACCAGACAGAACAGACAGGACTTGAGGGCTTTCAGTTTTCTCCCAGTGCAGACATCACAGGCCACATCTTCAGGTCCAGCATAGCAGTGATCAGCAGGAGCAGCTTGGAGTCCAGTCTTCTTCAGTTCCTCCACCAAATCTGCTAACATGGTGTTTTTCAGCAGGACAGGCCTCGGTGTGAAGGTCTGCCTACACTGAGGGCAGCTGTGGATTTTCTTCTCATCCTCTTCATCCCAGAAGCTTTTAATACAGTTCATGCAGTAGCTGTGTCCACAGGGAATAGCCACCGGATCCTTCAGCAGATCCAGACAGATCGAACAGCAGAATTTTTCTCGGTCCAGCTGAACTCCTTTCTGCGCCATTTCACCTCTCAGTGGCAACGACTGTCTGAGTTTCACTTCCTCAGAAGTGCAGCTAGTTTGAGCTCTGATCTAAACAGCATGTGTCTCTGCAGTTAATGGAGCCTGTCAGCTGCTGCACGTCAGCACATGTTGGTCACACCCATCTTCAAACTGGAGATCTGAAGGGGAGGGAACAAGGAAATATATGGACAGAGTGGAGCTCGCTGTGATTGGAGAGCAGGAGGAAGAGGGAGGGGTCATCAAGCTGTGACTCAGCTCTGTGGAATTGAACTTTGTTTCCTCATTTACAGCGAAGCCTCAGTTAAAACCTGCTCCTGTCTGAAGACTGTAAAGTTTTTAGTTGTAAAATACTTCTTGGCTCCGTATTTCTCCAACTCTTCCTCAAATTCTGTTCAATGTTTCTTTGACTGGTTAAAACCAGCTGACTGACAGTAATCAAACTAAAGTGTCCTAAAATCCTTAAACTGCTGTATAATCATGTTCTCACTTCTTTGAAGTGTAAATAAAGGAGGACAAACTGAAGTCAAAGCTGCAGTCAGTGAGAACCAGAAGCCAAACAAACACTAATAAAGTCGATCAGTTCAGCTTTTTGATTTGAAATGATGCCATGTGTGTAAAAGGTGATGAGGACTCTAAACACAGGTGCATCACAAGCTGCCATTTGATCACATTTGTTCTTTTCTTTGTAAACCAGTGAGTTTAAAATCAGTTCTGGGCCAGTTTTATTGAGAGGGCCGGGCTGGGACCAGTTGTTTAGTCAGAGGGGCCCATTCAATCTGGGACCAAAGAGACAAGTTCAAGCTTTCTAAATGTCTTTAGTGTATAATGTGATGTTTCAGTATGTTTCAGTAACTCACAGTTCTTTGTTTCAGGATCTTTTCAGTAACTTAGTTATAGCACAAAAAACCTTCCTGTTAACTTTAGATCAAGTTC